GACAAGCCCCTTGCGGCCCCATCCTGCTCCCCACTGGGGCCCTGCGGCCGTCCATTCCAGCCCTGGGCACCAAGCCCCATGCACCACCCACCTGGGCAGCAGACCCAGTCCCAGCCCTGCCAAACTCTGTCCCTCCCTATGGGGCCTCAAACCCTCTCCCCCCCAGACTTACCTGTAAGAGCTGCTCTCCAGGCTGCCTAGTGGCCACTCCCTGTCTGACCACCCTCCTCCCACTCCCCCCAGCCCCTTTCAGGCTGGAACTCTGCCAGCCTTCAGAGAGCTCTTTGCAAAACTGCAAAATCTGTGCATTTTGCCTTTAAAATAAGAAATCTGCATTTTTCTTGGGTAAAGGGGGAAATCCAGCTTTTTCTCTCTTTTTCTGTGGGAAACAGAAAACTCGGATCCCTGCTTCATAGTTTCATAGATTTAGGGTTGGAAGGGACCTAGTAGATCTTCTAGCCCAACCCCCCGCCAGGGCGGGAGAACAAAAAAAACCCCAAAACAAAAACGGGACTCAAATGAGTCCAGCCAGGTAGGCATCCAGCCTCTTCTTAAAGACCCCCAGGGTAGGGGCCAGCACCACTTCCCTTGGAAGTTGGTTCCAGCTCCTAGCCGCCCTAACTGTGAAGTAGTTTTTGCGGATGTCCAATCTATACCTCCTCTCCATCAACTTGTGCCCATTACTCCTTGTTATGCCAGCGGGCGCTAGGGGAAACAGCGTCTCCCCCAAACCCTTCTGGTCCCCCCTAGTGAGTCTATAGACGGTCACCAGGTCCCCCCTCAGCCTTCTCTTGTGGAGGCTGAATAGGTTCAGGTCCCGCAGTCTCTCACTGTAGGGTCTGCCCTGTTGTCCCCGGATCATGCGGGTGGCCCTCCTCTGGACCCTCTCCATGTTGTCCACATCCCTCTTGAAATGGGGTGCACAGAACTGGACACAATACTCCAGCTGTGGCCTGACCAGCGTCGCATAGAGGGGGAGGATCACCTCCTTGGCTCTACTCAAGATGCACCTGTGGATGCACGATGCTTATAAGCATGCTCATCCTCTGAGCCTTTTACCAGAGACTTTTTGTCTTGATGGTACCCATTGAGTATGCTGCGACCCCTCCTCCTCATGATCCCCCACACAGAAGCAGGGGAAAGCAATCTGTACTTCCTGCCATTCACTTCCTCTCACCCACATGACTGGGAGAAAGCACTGTGCTGGTCTCCCTTTGCAATGTTAACTTGAAGCTTAGCATCTGTTCCTTGTAATGTATTTCTTATATATTTAGTCATTTTTATTACCTTTTCCTCTCTTTCCCCTAATTTTGAGTTGGTGGGTACCCAGTTTTTTGTTTTGGGGGTTGGGGTTTGGGCCTCCCTCTACTTTGTTCAAAATGATTTTCTCCTGCACTGTTCTCTTTGTTGCTGCCATCCTGCTGCAGCAATGTGTGGAATGACTTCAAGACAGTCCTTCAATAATTAGATTCTGAATCTGGAAAATTATAATATTCCTATAAATTTTCCTTGCAGCCCCAACTCTAACTTGCTGCAAGTGCCTAGGGCAGCAGGTATCTACTTCACCTGATCTACCTTGGGTCTTACAGATTTGATCTCACGGGTCCTAGGGGAGTTTTGAGAGATGGGGAGTTGGCATGGCTGAGCTGCAGAGATGGGCAGGCAAGGAAGTAGGGGCTGTGTTGTGGCCTCAGTGCTTACTGCTCCAGGGGAGCCTACATGGGCTCCTCTGTTTCCCAGGGCAAATGCCACCTGGACCTTCCAGCCAGGCAGCCTAGCCTAACACCTGAGGGCACAGCTTACCCAGGATGTTGGGAGAAGTGCAAGGGCTGATTTCCAGCCGGAGAAATTGGCACTGGAGTCTAGAGTGGTGCTGCTTTACCCTACCTATGCAAGTGGCACCTACAGTAGTCTATATTGTCCCACTTCCCAGAGACAGAGGGCCTAGACACGAGTGCGGAGGCTGCTCCGATGTGCCGTAATTAGAGTGCATTGGAGCAGACTTGCTTAATAGAGTCTGCTGGAGTGTGGCAATTACCGTGGTCCAGCAGCCTCCTGTGTCTCACGTGTCAGCATCTCTGTGCTTAAAAATGGCAGTGGGGGCACTTGAACTAAAGCTTGTCAAACGAGCAAGTGCCCCCACTGCTGTTTTTAAGTGTGGGGAAACTGATACATGAGATGCTGTAGCGCTTTAATTAGAGCAGCTCTCAGAGAGCTCTCTCAGAGCTGCTCTAATTAAAGTGTTGCTTCCTCCTCCCACCACCCCTGAAGCACATGTAAAAGTGTCCATTATGAGTAAAGCTTGCATCCTGGGTCAGTGTTTCTTAAACCTGGGGACACTGTCACTCCCCACCTCCATCATGGGTCCACTCCACCTGTTGCGGTGCAGCTCATCCTGGCATGTCCCCCTTCTCTGATTTGCTCTGTGTGTATATTCTGCAATCCTGAGCTACCTGCTGTCTCCCTAGTCCTCCCTGACCTGTGTGGAGGGCCACTCTTTGGACCCCTACTACAGTCATCTTTTACTCTTGCTATAGATTCCTCTAGACAGCAGCAATGGTCAGTGGCAGGGAGACCTCTAGGGGGGAACAAGAGTGTCCACTGGGTTTGGGATATGCTGGCTCAGGGCACAAGCTGACTGAGGTGACCTTTGGGGCTCCCCCTCTAAGTAGACACCTGAGGCATGTGCTCTCCTCACTTTTCTTAGCTATACCACTGGGACCTCCCTTCAGGCCATGGTGTAGCAGAGTTCCCTCCTACAGCAGCTGCTTCCTGGGCCAGCTCTAACCAGTGTCTCCTGGAAACAGAGGCACTGCAACAGTTCTACCTGGCAGTGGCAGTGCAGCTCCCTGGGAAAGGTCTCATGGCACCCTGGGATGCTCACGCACCTTTGTTGAGAACCACTGCTGTATAGCCTCTTGGCCCAGAGTCTTCATAACCTGCTAAGGCCTCCAGTGATGCTTGAGCTCAGTGAGCACTAACTTAGGAACAGGACAAATTAATCTCCTGTACAGAGCTTCTGCCCCAGTTTCTGGCTGATCTTCAGCTCTGCAGCTACCAGGTCTGTTACCATATGCTGTTGTTCCAGTACAAAACTTTCTGGGACTGTCTTTTGAGCCAGGTTCTGTGCGGTAGTGCATCTCTCCATGGTGCACTTGCTGAGTGTCCATAATGCCATAGCAGATCTCTAATCACTTATCTCTATGCCACAAGGAGAAATCAGGGACTCAGTCTGCCGGATAGACCTCTTTGCAACTCAAATCAGCAACTAACGTCCCTTCTTTTTCCTGAGGAGGCTTGGCCTGATGTAAATGCTGCCTCCTTACCCCCTGCTGAGTCAACCTGTTCACTTGATGTGAGAAAATTGAACTCCCTTCACCTCACAGCCTGGTGCTAGATGCCTCTCACAGGAGCCATCTTTCCAATAGATCAAGGATATTCTCAGAAACAGAAGAATCTACAGTAGGAAGGATTCTACCACATGAGCTGACTCGGCTAAGTGATTCATTCTTTCAAGTTGGTGCACCTGCAGGCATCTTTCTTTGGTTCCAAACATTTGACAGTGCCTATTATAATTTAAAAGTGTTGGTCTTTCCATGAGCTCTGTTGGGGTTCCCCAAGGAGTCTACTTGTCACACCAGTCCCTGTGGATGTCCCTCCCATGGTCTTGCATCCCCTGGCCCTGAGATTCCTCAAGAATCTATCAAAGGTGTTTTCTATCATTAGAGATCTAGTGGATCAAGTCCTTCGTACCCACCCAGAATTCTTGCTTAAGGGGTTACTGAGTTTCATTTGAGTCAGCAGTACTCTTGTGCCAGTTTTCTTCCCAAAATCATAGAACTCCTGAGCTAGGTCTTTAGTACACGTGTTTGATGTTAAGTAGGCATTGGCCTATTACTTGCATAGGATTGAGTGCTTCTTGAAATCTCTGTGGCTCTGTGAGACATAAAGGCTGAGTGATATCAGCCCAGCAGCTGTCTGACTGGATATCAGGTTGTGTGAATTCTGCTGTGGATTGTCAGAATGATACAGCCCATCAGGGCCCTCCCTCATCTTCATGCAAATTGAATATAATATTGGACTCTGCTGTTGAAAGAAAAGTGAGGCCCAGGGGGAGAGCTTGAAAGTGGAGTGGCTTGAGGGAAGCAGGTTTTTGAAGCACAGTCTACAGGTACTGCCAAGGCAAATAGTCTCTTGTCAAAGGCTCAGGGGCTGAGCATACCCACAAGTGAGAGTGTGGAAAAATACAGCTTAAAGAACTCCAGTGACTGGTAAGTAACACTTTTAAATTGAAGTTTGAAAACCAAATGTGTATTGTTCGTCACACGCACTGTCATTTTTCTTTGGTGATGAAAAGGGAGGAACTTTTTTAAAATTATAGTGGGAATTTATACTGTATACCCTAAGTACATGTATTCACAGAACATGTTCAGGCTTCAGGTATGAACGTACAATATGAGCTAGCAGAGTGTCATCTATTGATAATATATTATGCCTGTTAAGTTACTTCATTGAGTACCAGAAATAAGTGGTGAAATACCATGCTACCCTGGTTACATTGAAAATAAGACACACAGTTATTTAATGTTTTAAACAAAATACATCTAACTTATTAGAAAAAAAGGGATTTTTGGTGTTATCCTTTATTAGACCAACTGTATAGTTAAGTTAAGAGCGATGTTAGACAAGCTCTCAGGCATGAAGTGAACTTCTTTAGGCCTGGGCTGCTTTGTATCTGTAGCCTTGTCTAATATCTCCCCACTACACTTAGACCAGTAAAACGTATCACCAAAAAAACTTGCTTCTGGCACATCTCCTGGACCATCTACAGCACTCCAACCCTTGTCTAACTTCTTAAACATTCAGGGTGATAAATTATAAAATGCTGATACAGAAACTTGATCTTACTATCATATATATTATTGCATTTGTACTTTAAAGAGTAGTTTTCTTTGATCCAGATTAACAGAATTACTTTTCAACTGATTTTATGTAACCAGGTCCTTCAAGGTTTAGATTACTTACACAGCAAGTGCAAGATCATCCATACGGATATTAAACCAGAGAATATCTTGATGTGTGTGGATGATGCCTATGTCCGTAGAATGGCTGCTGAAGCTACAGAATGGCAGAAAGCTGGTGCTCCTCCTCCTTCTGGTTCAGCAGGTACAGTAATAGATTTAAACATGCTGTGAAAAAAAAAACCTACTTCAAAACACTGATCGGAATAACATACTGTATTCTAGTTAATAAGAGAGATATATTTTAAAATGGCCGAATTAGATGTGTAAATGTTAATAACTTTAATTTATTCTTATTTAATTTACTTCTGTTGCATTATTTTTTCATGCTTGTATAGTCCCATAATTTCGAGTTCTCTATAATATAAGAAAAAGATGTGTTGAAACAATCTGTCTTGGCTTCTAAGATGGGAACTTTAATGATAGCTTTTAGCAGGTCTAGAGCCTTGCCACTCTGCAAGATCCCTAAAAGCAAATAGCCTTTTCTGAATTGTTTCCAATTCTGCTACAAGTTCATAACATTACATTTGAAATTGGCTGACCTTTAATAATCATAGTTTGATTTAGTGATGCCATGGAAGTCTTGGATAAGTAGAGATACTTATGGTGTGTCTACACCATATTAGCTATTTATCTGTGTGGGTCTGCTCCTGCTTGCTACATGACAAACCCAAAAACATAGTGATGAAGCCACTCCAGGGGCATCCCTTCCCATTGCTCTTGGGCACATCAGACACACCTATCTGGAGAGTATCCGTAGCAAGATGCCCCAGAATGTCTTCACTACTGTATTTCTGGATATGAAGCATGTGAATGGCAGTGGGTAAGCAGGGCATGCTCAGAAGTATCCTTCCAGGGGCACGCTGGCAACACGGTTGAGAGGAAATGTGGTTGTGCTAAAAATTGTCAGTCCTGTGTCCTGGTCATTTGTTACACAAGCATATCACAAGAGGGAATGGGGAAAGGCAGTATTGAAGAAAGCAGTTATATTGTAGAGAAAAGTACAGGGACCGATAGATTTGTTGTAATAATAACCTCTATTACAGCAAGAATCCAGCTGCCTTCGTAGTATAGGTTCAATTTTGCAATATATTCACATTCTGCATGAAAATTTTCCAGACTTAGACTTCCCTTTTTTTGAGTGTTATATGTGGATTTGTATTTCTGTGTTTAAAATACTAGGGAAAATATAATGTATTGTTTTGGTTTTAAATAATGTTTGATTGTCTATTTAATAGACATGTAATAATTGGACAAGGAGACGGTTAAGATTATGCGTGTAACCTTGATAGTTTCCTGCTTTTGGAGTAACAGACCATGAGATTGTAGTGTTCTTTTAAGGAAGATGTTTTATGGAATTATCTCTATTGTTTGTTAGCTAATTATAATTGTTACTTATGCCCCTTTCCCCAGCACTAACTGAGGATGAACTGTACTCTTCAGCTTTTCCAGAAAGTCCACTACCAAGTCACACTTGTGAGACAATGGTGTGAAGATCCTAATGCTGACCACCTTTTAGAAAGTAGTGCCCCTACATTCTGTACAAGCAGTCATACAACCAGCCTGCTATAGAACTAAGTGTTCAGAACTGAAACAATAAATGGGCTGTGAAGCCTCAACTTTCTCTTTTTTTTGTAAGCTGCAGTGGACCTTCTTTTTATGCAGAGACAGATCTGCATATAGCTTTTCTGTGCATTTCTCTCCTGTAGTTATTTACTTTTTTTAGGGTTTTCTGAAGGCTCTGAGGTTTTGGTATTTTCGGGTTGACACCCCCCCCCCCATAGATATATTGTTATTCTATGCAGTTGCACAGTTAATACTCTGACAAAGCAGACTAGGCCATATGGCTGATCCACTGCTCAAAAGTCTGTCAGGAAGAGTCTAAAGCATATTCTTTTCTTCTAGGCTTGTGATATAAAATGTGCAAACTTAGTTTAATTTGCTTTGGGGGGAGACTCACTCCCTGTTGAGTGCTTTTTATCACAGGTTTTTCTAGTTACCTAAGGCATTTGCTTCTCAGTAGATTTAAGGACATTTACTCTGGCTTCAAACATGAACCTCACACCTAGACACTGTAAAAGTCTGTTCTCAGTCAGGCAGTAATTTTTTCCCCCCAACCAATCAAACCTTTAATCATTTTTGTTAATTTTCCCTGAACTATTTCAAATTTGTCAATATGTATTTGATAAGTTCACCAAAACAGATCTTATTATTCCAGCTGTGGCACTTTTCAGGGCTAGATTTTGTCTTCTTTGTGTTGGTGACCCACTTTCCTATTCTGGCTTTATTCTGCCTTCCTTCTTTGCCCCAGTATGCACACATTTTTCCAGTTTACTGCTAGCTCCACCCAACTCCTGGTTCTTATCTGGTTGAATAAGATTTGAGCAGTCCCTGGGGTTAAGTGGCACATGCGGGGGTCATTGTCAGTTTCTCACAATAGGACAGAGAACATAAGAACTGCCATATATTGGGTCAGGCCATAGGTCTATCTTGCCCAGCCGCTTGTGGCCACCAGAAGGCACCACCACTTCCCCCTGGCCACTGCTAGAGCTGCAGGGCCAGGGAGCACTAGGAGCCGGATGAGCTAATGCAGGCTCCTGCTCTTCCCACCACTACCACCACCTTGCCTGTACCTACAGCCCCCCCTCCCCTTCCGGCAGCCACCACCTGCTGCCTCCGCTGCCTGCAGCAAGAGGGGACTGACAATGCCAGTGGGGCCCCTCCACCAGAAACCACCCCCTGCTGTTCTTCTAGCTGCTCCAGCAACACCCCTGTGTTTATTGTCCTGTGCTCCATTCCCCTTCTCCCAATGTTTTGTGAGTGTCTGAGGAAGCCAGCAGCATGCTTTCCCTCCTGTGTATCCTTGTGTCTTTTTGTGTTTACCTCCCAGCCCCTTACATTCATCCCCCCACCCCCCCAAACA